TGTATGAATGAGGCACAGTCGAGGGGAGGAGCTACAGTCCAAAGGAGAAGCGCAGTGTCGGGGCCATGGGCAAGTGGGGAGTCCAAGGATCTAGGCAAGCAGGGCAGGACGTCAGAGCTCAGGTGCTGCAGAGATCAGGCCAGCAGCTGAAGCAGAAGCAGGCAGGGGACTGACGAGGGGCACGCAGGGCTGTGGTGGGGTGCGGTAGACGGGACCACGCAGGACATCAGAACCTAGTCCTCCTGGGGTACTTATCTCCTGGCTCATCAGGCCAGGCAGAAAGCAACACTCTTTTCAGTTGGAATAAAATAAGATGTTGAGTGATTTTACAGGGAGGAGGTGCCCGAGCCACTTTAGTGCTTTGCAAAGAGCACCTCAGAGCCCTGCGTGTGCAGGATGGCACAGGCAATGGGAACGGCACACAGTGCACTGACTCAGTGCCAGGTGATCGCCCTCGCCACTGTGCCCTGACGCCCTGGGTAGGGAGTTCGGTCTTTGTTGTTTCCGTGGAATGCGATGGTCAGATGGGACAGGCAGTTCTCAGAGGGAAGAACAGCTGCCTTGAACTTTGCCCTGTGCCTTCAATCAGTGTTAGGTCATGTCAGCCCTGAAATGTATCTTCCTCTCATATCGTCCACAGAGCAGTTTCTCCACTTGGAGCAGAATGTGTTCTCTGAAGTCCCAGAGGAACTCAGAGGGCAGGGCAGGGAGGAGCAGCGATACCCACCAAGTACCCCCACACCCACCCAGTGAGCACGAAATGCCCCTGCCGGGATTGTCCCACGGCTGGAGGCCCTGACTCTTTCATTCCAACACGTGCATTGCCCTTCAGAAGGTACAGAACTCTTTCACATGCAGTTCTTACTCATCAACAGCCCCTGGAAGTCGGTTTAAACAACCCCACACACCCTCACGATTGCCCTGGAGTCGTCTCTAACTCAGCAATCCAACAGGGCTCTGGAGGCTTTCCGAGACGATAACTCTTCACTGAGACAGAACCTCATCTTTCTCCATCAGAGTGGCAGGTGGGTTTGAACTGTCTACCTTGTGGTCAACAGCCCAGTATCTAACGCACTATGCCACCAGGTTTCCTTGGAATTAGGTAGGAAAGGAATGATTTAATGCCGTCCTGCAAATGAGAACACGGATTCGAGGATGACAGGTGATTTATTCCTGGTCCTAGGACTAAACCCCAGGCACGCTCATACTCCGAGTGCCTCTCTGGCCCCGTGTTACAAAAGCACAAACTCTCCATGCTTATTGGGACAGCTCTCCACCCCTCACCGCCCCGCCCGCCATCATGGCAGAAAGAAGCTCCAGGGACTTCCTCTATGGGCTCACACAGACTCAGGACAAGGGTCACAGGATGAGCAGCAAGGTCAGAGAGGAGAGAAAGCCTGACTTCTCTAAATGACCCGTGTCTAGAGACTCTTGGCACTCTCATTGGCACAATCTGAATTTGTACCCATTGCCACAATGCTAACACTCGTAACTTAATGTTTATCTAGGAGAAGATGGGGGCAGCCAGCATTTAAAGTGCTTCCTGTATAACACATACCCTGCTAAGTGCTCGCTTCATCATGGGCGGTGGAGATTATCTTCATTTCTACTGATGAGAAAATGAAGGTTTAGAGAGGTTAAATAACATGCCCAAGGTCACCAAGCCTGAGCTGGAACAAAGGCTGGTCTGATTGCAAAGCCCTGCTCGTCTCTCTATACCACATTAATAATGCCTTCGCCTGCTCCCTGCCATTTAGATGCTTACAATCAGACTTAACCACTCTGTTAGGTATAATCACAGGCCAGAAAGCATTCTGAACTAATGGATACTCCAAGGAGAATGACTAATGGATCATTTGAGTTATAGTAATTCCCACTGGAGTTATAGTGATTCCCCTTGCCCCAGCCCAAAGAAACAAGCTTCAGTCCCGGTGGACCGCTGCGCCTCTGTGGGAGAAGCAGCCAATCTTTAGAACGTGTGCCTGACTTGGAGAGCCGCTAGTGTCGTGCTTTGTGTTAGTTTCTTTGTATATGTGTGGGTGTGTGTTTGTAAACTGGGTGGTGGTGGTGGCTCCATGCTAGGATTTTTACCTTCCAGACCCAGGCCCTAGGCCTGGCCAGTGCATTTCATGAGTAGCCACCACCTGCCTGTCCTGGAGGCTGGAGCACTCTGCTGAACAGGGTTTAATGGTGCTTCCAGACTATGACAGACTAGGAAGAAAGGCTTGGTGGTCTACTTCTGGAGATCAGACAATGAAAACTTTATGGGTCATAAAGGTCCAATCCTCAACTAATCCGGGGAAAGGGACAGGGCTGGGTAGCGTTTCATTCCATGGGGTGAGAGGTCCTTTTGAATCAGAGTGAATTGATGGCAGCAGTTTCAAAAATTCTGAGCAATCTACATAAAACCAGCAGCCTCGGGAGTAACTCTCCACAAGTGGTTTGGGGCTATCCCCGTCACGAATCCTTAGCCCAAATAAACCAGCCCCGGTGGCATAGTGGTTATGAGCAGTCTGCTACCTGCAAGGTGAGCTGTTCAAAACAACCAGCCACTCCTCAGGAGAAAGGGGCTTTCTACTCCTGTGGAGTTCTAGTCTCAGAAATTCATAGAGGCAGTTCTACCCTGTCCTACAGGTCACTATGAGCCAGCACTGATTCAAAAGCAAAGAGTTTGGTTTGGGTTTTCGGTGGCATGGTGGGTTATGCTGTGGGCTGCTAACTTCAAGGTCAGCAGTTTGAAGCCACTAGCAGCTCTGTAAGTGAAAAATGCGGCTTTCCATTCCCATAAAGAGTTACCGTCTCAGAAACCCAGATGGGTAGTTCTACTCTGCCCCACAGAGCCACTATGAGTCAGAATCAACTCCATGCAGGGCATAAGAAAAATATTAAAATAGATTACAACAAAATAAAAACCAAATGCGACCTTTAATTTTTTTTAATTGGTGTCTTAATTCAGAGCAAACCTAAGAAGATTGTTATATGTAACAGATAGCCAGGTATCAAAATAGATTTGATTAAATCTACTTAATCGAATTAACTATAAAGAGTTTGGCAGCTGATTTATGTGTTTGCCAGATTTAGAAAGAAGATGCGTACTTTGTAGTTAAAGAGAAGCTATAGCACTTTGCAATTTGAAGGGGAAAAAAGACCAAAAATAATTTGCCAAAATGGTCTATTTTCATAGACTGATGGTAGAGAGAATTAATAAAAGTGCTGTCCAGATGGAAAAGGCAATGTTATATACTACTAGATCCTTACAGTCTCAAGGAGCCCCTGGTCGGCACAAACAGCTAAGCCCTTGACTACCGACGGAAAAGCTGGTGAATGACACCCACCAAGAGGCACCTACAAAGACAAACCTGGTGATCTGTGTTTCTCAAAGGTCAGAGTCTTGAAACCTCTGTGGAGAAATGTGCCTCGGACACACGTGGGCTGGGATGAGCAGCAAGCAACTCAAGGTCCACTGCCACCACCCACACCAACCTACCAAACCAGGGGCAACTCTGGAAGCTCACCTGAAGAATGCCTCCTTATGGGCAGGCAGCGTTTGCTCCCGTGGCCCAGAGTTTGTGTGCACAAGCATGGTGTGACTAGAGTCCAGGCTGCGTATGTCTCTGATGGTGCCACTTCCAGTCAAAAATGAGGGGGTTCAGATCACACAGCATTAGGCCCACTGGCCTCCAGGGAATCAGGAAGAGCCACTACTGATGAGATAAAACAACAAAAACAAAAACCCCTGGTGCCCCTGAATGGGATTTTTTTTAAAAATCCGTTGCCATGGAGTGGATGCTGACTCACAGTGGCCATATAGGACAGGGCAGAACTGCCCCGGTGAGTTTCCAGGACTATAAGTCTTCCTTTGGACTAGAAAGCCTCATGGTTCTCCCCCAAGCCTCTGGTGGCTTCCAACTGCTGTCCTTGCAACCCAACATGTAACCAACACACCACCAATGCTCTTTCGCATTCTCAAACAACTCATGCCTTAGCTAAATGCCCAGCAGACCAGGGAACAGTAATACGTCATCTACCTGTCGAGTAGGTGCCAGCCCAGTGAATGACGTTGACTTGGCTCTCCAATGTGTTACAAACTAGTCAGACTATGAGAAGACTCGCTGTCCCTTCTGAAGGCCCACTCTAAGGACGACCAAGCACCGATCCTGAGTGGTAAAGGAGCGAGGAGACAGGATAGCCTAGGGGTGACCGTGACAGATCGGGGAGGAAAGCATGATGTGGAAACAAGCAGTTAAAAATTGACCTCCGGCTGATTTTGAGGGCTGCTTTAATGATTACCATAATAAAACTAAAATGTTTCTAATATTCACAGTCACTCTTCAAAGTGCACGCTTGAGAAATTTCAAACCAATTTTGGGGAGTTGAAACTTGCTGAGAGAAAGCAATGAAGTAGCGCCGCCATGGGACAAAGCCCTTTTGTCTGCCCGGTGAGTAAGAGGGAATCCCTGGGCCCTTCCCTGAGTCACACAGCACAAGCCCCAGTGGTGATACTTGTTAGGAAAATCCTAACGATTTCCCGAATCTGCAGATGCCTGCATGGAGCGGGTTCATGCTGTTCCTCCATTGACGTGCCATCCTACTGGCCGTGAACGAGAGGTTGCAAAGAAATGTTATAGCCCTGGGCTCCGCAGAGTTTCCCAGGCCTCTTCAGCTGTAAGAATGAGTTTGGAGAAGCGGCACCTACGCCAAATTAGAGAGGAGCCTGTGCCGCAGGTGACCGCACAGCCAGGTGGGTGGAACCCTAGGTTTGCAACCCCACTAGGTGTTGCACTTGGGAGGAAAATCTTGGAAACGGGCAAAAAGCGCAACGCGCCCCCCACCCACTCACCCACCCCAGGAGATGCTCTTCCAGGTGCGCCAGCCTGGAAACCTGATGACCCCTGAAAGCTGTGGGCCGGGTTCGGCGAGGTCCCGGAGGCCGGGTCCCCCCACCGGTGCCCGGCTGCCTTTAGTCCCGGGAACCCTCCTGCGCCCAGAGCCCCACTCACCGCTCACACTCGCCCGCGCCGCCGAGCCCGGGAGCGGGGTCCCAGGGGCTGCCGCATGCCCTCGGGACGAGCGCGACAGGGCGCCGGGCTCCTGCCGGGCGCGAGGCGCAGCGCAAGAAGGCCGGGCTGGCGGCGCGCGCCGGCTCCTCCAGCCGCTCCGCGCGCCCCGACGGGTGGTAAGTTTGCCCTTCATCATGGGCGGTGGAGATTATCTTCATTTC